AGTGTAATACCTGACTGTTCTTCTGAAGGTACACTGTGTACATGTTCTGTTGTATTCCTTTACTTACCTCAGTGTAATACCTGACTGTTCTTCTGAAGGTACACTGTGTACATGTTCTGTTGTATTCCTTTACTTACCTCAGTGTAATACCTGACTGTTCTTCTGAAGGTGCACTGTGTACATGTTCTGTTGTATTCCTTTACTTACCTGAGTGTAATACCTGACTGTTCTTCTGAAGGTACACTGTGTACATGTTCTGTTGTATTCTTTTACTTACCTGAGTGTAATACCTGACTGTTCTTCTGAAGGTACACTGTGTACATGTTCTGTTGTATTCCTCTACAGGTAAGGGATCACCTCGCTGCATCTAGAACAACGGCAATGGCAGGGCATATATTTCATGAAAATTCTAAATATCAACTCAGTCAATTTTGGTTCGCAACACTGTCTTTAAACAATATCAAGTTTTCTTCAGTCTTTGCTGCTACTAATTGGGAAAGCAGGCAAATCTTTCAAATTTAAAGCACAATAAGGTGTGTTTATATTATAATAATAATAATTTATTGAGCACTGAAATGTTTTTACATTTAGAGGCTCTCTAGCTACTATACATTATACATATGGAAAGATAGTAAGGATAGTAAGTAAATGAAAGAGAAAAAAATATATATACTTATATAATGTTACACAATATACATTCTCTTAATATCCAGGTGAGATGCATGAAATCATTTGTGCACTTCTAGTTAATTACGTTTTTTCATAATTTTATATTTGCCATAATTACATCCTAATTTCAGTAGTACTGCTAAATTTGTACAAAACACATTCTTAATATTATGGATGTGCTTTCAAAGTTCATGAGCTATCCAATTTTGAACACAGTTAATAACTGTAATATATTTATTTCATTTGTCAAAACTTATCAAAAAAAAAAAAAAAAATCAACGTCTCTGGTATTCTTTAAAAGAACAGTTTCTGATCTCGGTAATTTTATTACCTGGAAGTTTTAAAACCTGATGTCTTTAATAACAAATTTAAATAGTAATATTGTTTTAAAAACAATCATCCAGTGTTTATCTGTTTCACCTTGTATATTTTCCAGGCCTCCTCCCTGGCTCCCAGCACATTCACCTTCCTCTTGTTAGGAATGGGGTCATCACCCGCTTTGACCTGCCATCTCAGCTGGTTCTGGCGCTCCTCGTACACATTCTTCCTCACTGCCTGCTCAAATACTGCTTCCTGGAGACAACAGTGGACACATGGGGTGTAATAGGAAGGCTAGATAATATTAATACTGCTTCCTGGAGACAACAGTGGACACATGGGGTGTAATAGAGAGGTTAGATAATATTAATACTGCTTCCTGGAGACAACAGTGGACACATGGGGTGTAATGGGGAGGTTGGATGAGATTCTGTACTCATTTTTTATGAGTCAATATGGGAGCTTAAACCCAGGTCAGTTTTTTGTTAAACAAACATTCTGCCAAACTGTTGCATTCTGTATCTCATTATACAAACTCTGTGAGATAGTGAGTCTATTTGAGTCTAATCTTGATTTATAAACTTAGTGTAATAGTAATTTACAAAGTGCATTTAAGTCTTACAAAAACAATATTGCGCTTTATTACATGATCACTATGACTATTAATGATATATATAAAGACAGTATATGAAAAACTGTGTAAGTTCTTGATAAAGTTATATCTTATAGCTACATCAGCCTTATGGATACATGTTCATTATTTCACACATGCCAGTGCACCTGTGTCTATCAAACACACCTTCATTTGTCTACTAGATGGCGCTGAGCTCTCTTTGGCAGCCTCAATAGCGTCTCTGAGGTCCTTGACCCTCAGTTTTCCTGCCTGCTGGTTGAGGACCTGAGCAATGGCGTACGGCGTGTCCAGACTGGGCGGAAAACGGATACCATCCCTCTCAACCTCCTGGGAATAATAAATTTTTAAACCATATAAAAATGTCATAACCTGGCACTATCACTCTAGTGTAATCTCTGCTAGGTGGGTAATGAAGGCAATTCCCCTTGATTTTCATAAAACATAGGCACAGGGCCCACCTTGTCTTTTGAAAATTGCTGGTTGCCACCTTAACATTCTTTTAGACTATACTGTAACTGATACAACACATGTCTTGCTAACACCATGCGCAAATTTGTCAAATTAAGTAATTGTCAACATACTGCTAAAAATGATATTTCTCCCACAGTGATTCTAGGACAGTAACAAGTACAAACCTTTGGCTGAGGTGGGCCTAGCGTTCTCGATGTGGAAGGTTTGGACCGACTTGTCTTGGTTTTCTCTCTCCGTGAGCGCGCCCTATCTACAGGGGTCAGAGACCTGGGGTCCAGCATTCCATTCACTTCTGGTTCTTCCAAATCCTGCTTCATTTCTGTTCTTTCCCTGTAAAAGAGTAGTACATAAGGACTACACATGGGATGCCATGAAATCTGACTGTCAGTTAGGCTTCCACGTGTCCACACTACCTGACATCATATTGTACGGAAGGTTTGCCTGTGTTCTAATATTACACAGACCTTCTACATCAACATCAATGAAAAGTGCTGCTATAATAGTTTAAACTCCTAATTTCTGCTTCTCTACTCAAACTGGCATAACATAAGACTCAGCACTGCGATGTGAATAGCAATAGTCCAATTCTATAAGTAAGATCTGTACTCACTTGGCCAGGCCTGGTTTAGAGGTACCAGTGAAGGTACAGACCAGTGGCTTGGAGTTGAACTGAGAGATCACCAGTTGCAGCTTCATGTGGGCTGTCAGAAACTCCGTGGGGGCAAAGGTCACTGTGATCTCTACCTCACCATTGGCTGGAACCATGCCTGGAATGATGGGATTCTTATTAAAACATCAAGTATATGAGAGCTGATGACAGGAAAATTTATTTGCTCATTTCTCAAGAACATCTCAGTGACAATTTAAAAATTCATATAATATGGGTACCCATCAATATCTTCCATTCATAAGATATCTGATGCAACCTCCAATATAAAGATGTGTTGGCTGTGACAGAGTTGTGATTTGTGTCACTGTGTTAGCTGTGACAGAGTTTTGGACATCAACTCACCTGACATAGGCTCCACTGTAAAAGTTGGGTGAGGCTGCAGGAAGCTCAGTTGAAATTCAAAATCAATGGGCGCATCGCACTTTAATGGAATGGTCTTGCTAAATCTAGAAAGCAGACCAAATATAATATTATATTAATTTAAATATATATATAAATATAATGAGGATTTGTAACAGCATTTACCTCATTTGTATCTTTATATTTATAAATATTAAATCATTTTCACTGATATTTTTTCGATCGATACTATGCACAAGAACACAGATTGTAGAAAAAAAAGGAGTTCAGGTGAACATCATTCAATCATATACAAAACAGACCAAAGTAATAACTAACATAAAACAATACAGTTTATTATACTGTGGAGTTGGTTCTATCCAAACTCTCTATTTCCCTACAGGAGCCAATACTTACTGCTGTCCTATAGGAACTGAGGGGAAATCTACGTGGGTTGGAAAAGAGGCTGTGTTCATCACAGGATACGCGTGGATAGGGATCACCAGGTTCTCCTCATTCTGGAGGACAGAAATACAACCGTATCAGTAATATCCCAATTATCCAATGGCCACTTAATAAAGGGGCAGTGCTCAACTTCTTACAATATCATAAGAACAAGTAGGTGTCATTTTTCCTGGATTCTCCATGACATTTTTCTACATTTGACCACTTACATATGAATATGAGCAACAAATGATAATATTAAGGATGCATGTTATTAAACTCACCTTTCTTTCAAAGCTGTGTGCTATCAAAATTATATAAAAACCCAGAAGTTAATCCGTTACATAAAACTTACACCAAGGCTTTTATTGACAGTTTACCTTGCAGTTAATCCTGATGCAGTCATAGTAATACCTCCACTCATCAGGAATAAACTCCACCACACAGTCTAGTGTCATCCCTGGTACAAGACGCTCCTGAAACACAATATATCAATTGTTGCATGACGTATATTTGCTTAGTTTTTTATACATAAAAGTGGACCTGCTAAAAAAGCTGGAAATGCAAGCACCATTCTAAATGGTATATCAGGGAACTAAATATAACACGAAAATATCCAGGTTTCCAAATAAATCCAGAGGACTTTCATCTGCAGTTTATGAGGACTCTCTTCATCCATTTTCAAGAAAGGGAGAAGATATCAAGGAGAGAGGTAGGGCCAGGTAGTGGAATATCCCACCAAAAACCTAGCTCTGTCAATTATTTGTCTATGGATTGGAAATAACCTGGGGTTTGGGGTTTTACAATTTTCCAGGTGGGCTAAGTATCACCCCTTTATTTTATAAATTAACATTCTCATATCACAGTAAAGACTGGTTTCAGAGAAAATGAACCAATAAATGCTTTTAAATTACTAGTAGTACATTCTGCATCATATGAAGCTGTTCTCACCTGTTTTTTATACTTGATATCAAAGTACTTGGTTTGTGGTGGAATGACGTGCATCCTGATCACCTCTGTGTCCACATTACCTATGTGGAGCTCCACCTTGTGTACCTTGCCCAGCTCAAAGCCACCATAGTAGATGATAGAGGGCGTGGCCTGCACCACTAGGTTCTGACCCACCTTGGCATAGATCTCTGTAATGTAGGTTATATACTAGTGTAAAACTGACCCACCTTGGCATAGATCTCTGTAATGTAGGTTATATAATAGTTTAAAATTGTTTCTATTTTCCCTTTAATGGCACTGATTTCTTAAACATTCATTTTTTATCAATCTGGAGTTGGTGTTTGGGTGATTATCAATGTAAAACTTTTATTTACTGGGTTTAACTTGATAATTAAGGCAAGCGTCATGTGTCTTTCTAGGTCAATACCTACCATACAGTACACACATATATATCATCAAAGCACAGTGAGCAAACATGAGTTTAGGGCCTTCTTTTCACTTAGATGTACTGGCACAATTACTTAGAAAGTTCAACGACTTGGTATAAATGACATGTGTTAAAACATCTAATACACCTTGGTCAGCATATGTTGTTCTGTTGAAACAAAGCTACAACACATTAAGAGGAGGCTGCACCTGTCACCTCGAATGATCAATGATAAAATCAATGCACTGCGACCCCCTCCCCCTCCACCCCAAAAATACATAACACCAGGTGGTAAGTCAAAGTTGCTATGCACTATTCAAGCAAAAAAGCACGAAATTTACTTTAAGTGTCCCTTGGTTGCATATTTGAACTTTCTTGAATAGAACCAGACAAAATTTGAGGCGCACTTACTTGAATCCAATAAATGATTTGGAACTTTGATCGGCTTCGAAGGTTCCACCAGTTGCAAATCCAGCAGTTTCCCTGTTGTTCTTGTTCCATTTATGCCAAAAGTTCTCGTCATGGGCTGTGTGGCGGCCATGATCAATTTTGTTGGTTAATTAATTTATCACCGATTTAAGTTCAACATTAATCTATCCGAAACTTTTGAATTTTCTTTCGACGGTAACCATAGTCCGCCATCTTGTTTGGGAATTTGCCTTAGAACATAGCTGAAGGTATATCTGAGCAAAAATAAATAGTCTACCGATTTTGGCAGATATAAAAAATAAGATCAACAGTTGTGATACAAACTTACTACTGAAAAAGCTAATTTCATTATGTTGTATTAAAATGAAGAAACAGTGAATATGAAATGAATGAAAAGTAGTAAGGCGCAATGTTAAAGAGAAACAACCACGCACTACTTTCAAATACAATCACCAAGGAAACCAAGCGGAAGCGGAAATTACGACTTCTTTTGTGCTGGAGGTGTGAAACGGCATCTCTCCAAAACAAGTTTTAGTGACACGTTGCATTGTAAATAAGTTCATGAGATTCACTTTAAAGAATGTCAAATTGGTGACATCATGGTGTGTTTGTGGTGACCCACAGAAGCTTGATAGGGGCTTGTATTACTTAATATTGTTGCAAGCACTTCTTTAAAGGCATTTTATTTCGTCTTTGTACTCGATTGACTTTACCAGGTGTTGAAATTACACTGTAGCATTTTAATAATGCAGATGAAGAGATAAGGTATGCGGGCGGTTTTGCCCTAGAAGAAGAAGAAGAAAGCTTTTTCAAGATGGTGCTATTTGCTTCAATATTTCGAGCTTCCGACGGATTGCCATTGGTGGCGTTGACAGATTTTGATGGTCAGAGGTCAAATGTAAAACATGCACAACGTTACGTGAAGTTGATTTCAAAGAAACTGCATCAGCTACCAGACAGATGCACCCTGCAAAGTGACGACTATGTGATACAGTAGGTGATTCATATTGCTATATCTTTTTCTGTTTATCATGCTCAGATAGATTATTAAGTGGATCATAATTGGCGTACAGTACTGGTATATGCATGTACAGTATACTAGTAGGTACATTGAGAGGACATTGTAGGGGGCGTACGTGGTGGTTGAGACGTGTCCAAAGTTAATCAGTTTTTGTCCTTCCTCTCCTCAATCTCTATTTCCTAGACCCCTGTACCCTTATGCATTTATCAGGTTAAAAGTTCAGTTTGAACTTCATTTAAAAAGTGTTGAGGTCTGGCAAAGCACTGTTATGGTACAGTGTGCATCATAAACATGTAGAAGGTACTCAGTACCTGCATTACCTGTTGTACATGCAGGGGTGATTGGAGGTTGTCTTCTTGGCCTTCCAGAAGACAGTCAAATTTTTTTCAAGTTTACATTGATGGGGATTTAATTCTTCTGTTGGAAGACAGTCAAAATGGAAGATGAATCAACAAAGATAATTTGGAAGACTGTCAGAAAATATCTCTAGATCCACCCCTTTAGATGTACAGGGTACATTGTACGTGGTACCTTCAAATTTTACTTGTCCTTTCAATTCCACTGTGCTGTGCTTATCCTAACCTTGTGTTTTATTACAGTTTTATTACCATTCCTCCTCAGAACATCAGTGTGGTGACGGTACTTGATGTCTCCTACCCCAGTGTGCTTGGTTTCTGTTTCCTGGAGGAGGTAGAGAAGGAGTTTATAAAGCAGTATGACAGCAGGCAAGTCAGTGCAGCAGTTAGACCTTACACCTTCATGGAGTTTGGTAAGTCAGACATGCAGTGGCATGTGCATGCGTGCACACATGAATGCACGCATGTACACACAATGGAGTTCACAGTGAGGTTCAATATAAGTGCCATTGACTTAAGACATATTCACCCCCCCCCCCCAGCCCCAATAAAGGAATTATATTATTCATGGGCGTAACTAGGCATACGCACGGATGCACTGTGCGTACAATTTTTTGGCCAACCATGATATTGTTTTATATAAATTTAGTGTATTTTTCATGGAATATAAAAGAAAATCCTCTGCTTATTAAAGTCACCTGTATGTACAAATCCTCTGTATCAATTGTATAGGCACAATTGTTCTGAC